ATGGCGCGGCAGACCTCTCCTGACCGCCCGCTGCTCCCCTCAGCAGTGTGCTTCGTTGATCTGCCTGTTCTGCTCCCCACTCTGTCTCTGGTGAAGTCTTTCGCCACCCTTGAGTCTCTGGCCTGTACCCCAGTTCTGTATGCACAAATAATAAAAAAAAAAGCTTTGAGTGCCATGTGAGACACACGTCTACTATAGGAGACAGAACAGGGCTAGGTGAGCCAGGAGACAGAAATTGCAGAGAGAACCTGAAGAAGCGCTAAGGGTCAAAGATGCTGATATAAATGAAGGAAGCCTTACAGGCCTCTCAGTAGACAGGGTACAACTGAGGAAAGAATCTCTGAGCTCCAGATGATCGCAATTGGAAGCTCCGAAACTGAAAAAGCAAAGAATTAAAGACTGAAAACAAAGAACAGAGTACCCAAGGGAACAGCCAGACCACGCCGGCACAGCACATGTAGGGGCATGCAGACTCCACAGGAAGCCTATCTCGCGTGAAACAACGACTGAGCATTTCCAAAATCAATGCCAGACATCAAACCACAGATGCGGAGACAATAAGGCAGAGGATTTCAGGGGTTGGATGCAGAGGGGTGAATAGGCAGAGTAGGAAGGATTTTCTGTCATCGAAGTTATTCTTTGATGCTCTGATGATGGACACATTTGTCCACACTTAAAAAATATAAAGCACAAGAAGGAACCGCGATGGATACTAAGGACTGTAAATGATTGTGATGTGTCAGTATAGAGTCAACAGTTGCAACAAATGAACCTCTGGGGGGGGTGCTGTTATGTGCATTTATGTGGGGGAGTAGGAAGTATTTGAGAAAACTCTTCACCTTGTTCTCAATTTTGCTGTGAACTTAACACTACTCTAAAAAAATCTTAATAAAGCATTTGAAAGGTTAAAAAAAAAATGACAGGAGGGAACATAAAGGATTGCTTGGTAGCCAAATTCAAATTTAAGGAATTAGTAAAACCTGAAACACGGTTCCTTTTTTTAGGCCTTGTTCAGAAAGGCCTCATAAAGAAAGCCAAAAGCCATGAAAAAGTAAATTATTCTGATAACCTTTAAAAAAATTATAGACTCATAGAATTTTACTGCTCCTTAGCTGTTATCAGTACAGGTTTCTTTTAAAAATAAAGTAGAAGTGCACCCTAATCTTTTTTTATCTCCCCCACTCAAAGTTCCAGGAATGGCTCCTAGGAACTGACCTTCAGTCCCAGTTCCTCTTACCTGGTGACTTTCACTTTTCTGTTGGTCAGATGCTAAGAGAAATAAGAGATGGAAAACCAGTTTTAAATGCGGTTCATTTTAACACTGGGTTTAAAACTGTTTTTCTCTCTCCATTCGCATGCAGGATTATCCCAGTATCACCAGCGCCTTTAACAGGCCACTGAAGGTCAAGCACGGCATGGTAAGCCCAAAAGCGTCAGGTCATTTCCGTGTCTCGAGCTGAAGGTGTCTCTGCAGAGGTTCCATGGGAAGACGGTGAAATAGGTTGGAGTCAGATTCATTCATCAGACACTTTTTCCAAGCACTTGCTTCTTCTGTGTGTAGTTTTCTTTTGGTGGCGGGGTTGCAAAGATAACCAGGTCTGGAGCAGTGACCTGGCCACGTTGACTTTGTCAGGGTCACCAGTATCTCCTCTTCCTCGTGGGTGACAAAAAGTATATATACTGGGCTGGCAGTTCAAAGCAGGAACCATTTTTTTTTGGATTATAAACGTTCGAATAAGAGAGAAACAATAACAAAAATAAAAAGCATCTGAAATCCTTCCCCTGCCCACAGGGATCATCACCATTAATATTTTGTGAATTTCCTTAGAAACTTCTCTCTGTGTCTTAGATTGCATCTCTCTGTGGACACAGGTGATGCACACAGGTGATGCCATCACACTGGACAGTGTCCACCGTGACCTGTTTCAGTCAATGTCTTCATGAGCCTCTTTCAGTGTTACCATAATTGTCATCATGTTAATGGATACATATGATCCCATTGTCTGGGTATATCCCCAATGAAAAATATGCCATATTGCCGGGCATTTAAGTTTTTCAAATTTGTGACTTAGCAACAATGCAGTGATGAGTAAATTTTAACCTAAATTTTTTGCAATTGAAAATCATCTCCTCAGCATATAGCCCATAAGTAGGCTTCCTGGATGAGAAATTTGCTCATTTAAATTTTGGTTGATGGTCCAGCTGTCTTCTGGAAAATTGACCCCATGCACTGACAGTCCTCAGGAGAGCCTGTTACCTCTGTCTTCTCTATGACACTGGCTGTAAAAGATAATTGTAATGTTTTTAATTTGACAGATGTGAATATTTGCTGTTTTGTTTCTATTTCTTTATCAATGAAGTTGGACATCATCTGCTTACTAGTTATTCAGTTCTCTTGCATGAACTAGAGCCAATTTGAGGCGGTTGTGGTTTCTAAAATCTCAGCTAACACAGAACTAGTGAGCATGAACCATTCATTATTCTGTTAGGGAAAATGCAGGCTCAGGGTCCTGTGAGCCTCTGGTCATATTTTCGTCAACTCATCAATACAGAAATTTCTTTTCTGTGTGTTTGTGTTTAAAGATTCCTTGTTGAATTCACATTGTTTAGCATTAGCATTGAACTTAAGGCACCAGCCCTATAACTCCTGCCTAAATGAAGCTTATCTAATGTGCATATTTTCTCCATAAAGCACATCAGCCTTCTTGCACTTGGGAACACCAGACAGCACTTCAGCACTACATTTCAAACAATGAAATCACTAACAAAAAGCAGAAAAATGCAGAAAATGTGGCACTAATTGGGCCTCTAAGAGGACACTTATTTACAGTATAAGAACTGAGACAAAAAGGCAAAGAGTCCCCTTGTTGACCTCAGCACTCAAGTTATTCTCCACCCTGTATGTCCTTGAATGACCTCAGAAGTGCTGCAAGTATTGACTTGGGGTCATAAATAAATTGTAGCGAGTAGGCACCTCACATATATGGACTCCAGCTATGGTGAGGGTTGGCAACTCATTTCCTTCGTTCATTTTTCTCTTCGGTTGTTTAGTTTTTTCTTCGTGGTTTGTATAGACTATTTGCATATAGGTACTCTTTGGCCCATCCGATTTTCTAAGTATTTTCCCCAGTCATGACTTGCCTTTTCACTGTTGGTATCCGGTATGATAGCGACTTTGACAGCTGTGTGAAAGCATCTTCTGAGAGCGTTTGGGACAAACCTGGAAAAGGAGGTGCTTGGTATTTATCTTTGCCTTCTTTTTCCAGGCATGCCAGCTGCTGTTGGTGATTTTTCTCCACATCAGGGGAATTCACGTAAGTCCTCCCCTCACCTGCTGCTTGAGCGCCCTGCTCTACCTTTAGTCTTGGGAACACCAGACTAAACCTGACTAAACACCAGACTAAACTAACACCAGCCTCACCTGAGCCTCTCGCCACCCAGAGCCTGAGGCCATTCCAGGCCTTAGCCCTACCTGCCCCTTCCTCTCACCCAGCTGCGTTGCTTCCTTGTTACCTGTTCCTCTCCTCGAAGTCAGGAAGGTTGAAAGGTCAAGTCAAGGAGGGAATCAACACAGACATTTGCAAGAGGCACCAGCAGCTCTCAAAAAAGGAGCGTAAATGTGGAGGGTGCTGCTTGCTGGTAGCAGACGTGTAGGCGAGGGCTCTGGACCGCTGATTGAAAGCAGGCTCGGGATTCTCCACAAATTTCATGAGTCCTTACGTGGGAGGCTCTGCTTTCCGCCAGCACTCACACCTCGACTGTCTCTTTACGCAGAATTAAAAAGCCAGCCAGTGGGACCCTGAAGAGTGGCAGCCAGGGTGTGAGGACAAGACACCCCGAAGCTGGTGAGCACTTTTGCTTGTGACTGGGCAGTGGGTCCCGGGCTGGTGTGCAGGGCGCGCTGTGAGGCGCATGGCGGGTGGGAGGGCAGTGGGGTGCAGGTTGAATGGCAGTGTGGCGGCCACCCCTGATTCGCAGTGAAACAGAAGAAGACTGTCTGATAGGTGAAGGGCTTCCTGAGGCGAGCGGAAGGCCCCTGGGCTAGTCTTCCCAGTGGTTTTGGAAACAAGCCTCAAAGAGGCCCACGGGGGCGGGATGTCTCTTGTACTACCAGGTTATCGCGAGTGTACCCACGAGATGCTGGACTCTCTTGCAAAAGGAGGTAGCAAATTCTCCCACTGTCCTTCCCTCTGGGAACCCCCTGCACTGCTAGCGCCCTGCGCCTCACCTCCCGCGCCCCCCGCCTCTGCTGGCACATCCCGCGGCATCTCTCTAGCGCAGAGGCCCTGGTGGGAGCCGACTTCCTCCAAATCCAGTCATTTTTAACTGGACGTTGAAATGGGATTCTTCTTCTGTCTCAGAGTGCTGGCCACGGCTCTTAGAGAATGAATGGACAGAAAGAATAAAAACTGCTGACTGCGAGCTCCCTCCCTGCTGAGGCTGCCTAGTTTAATATATTTGCAACTCTTCTCGTGATCCTATGATTTTCACTTATTGGGATTGCTCTTTCAATTGACTAAAAATACTCAGCCTCACCTCTGTAATTACGTTTCTGATACCATGGGTTTGGAATGCTAGTTATGCGCATGAGAAAAAGATAACCTGACCCTGAAAATCTGGAAATGTTACTCAAGTACCACCTAACCTCAGCACCAGAGGCAGGGTCCCATGTCCCTGTGTTTGGAAAATGCTAATCCACAAGCCCCTCCGCCTTCTCCCCTTATCCGACAGTGGGCTAATGGGGCTGGGCTGGGCGCCGGCACCTTCTCAGGTAAGGAGTCTGTGGACGTGGCGTGGCCTTCTGGAGATGATGCTTGTTCCTGGACTTTTCTGCCTTAGGATTTGATCGCTGTCCTCCAGAGCAGTTCGAGTGCAGGAGGGCAGTACTGTGGCCAAGTAGAAGGCTGACGAGGCGGCATTTGGAGCCTGAATTTCTACTGTCCGCTTGGCCAGGGATCCAGTGGTGGGTTGGTGCCTGCTTCTAGGAAGAGCAGCAGATTTCCTGAAAGTATATTTCCTGCTAGCTGGCCCCCTGGGAGTTGCTTGGGAGAATCATTAACTATGGTTAAATAAATAAATCCCTCTCGCAGCCTGGAGTTGTCCGGCTGCCAGCAGACCCACTGCCAGTGTCCGCGGCTGTTCTGGGAACACTTGCTTTTCTTTCTCTTTGAGGTGCTCCCCCGATCCCCACCCCTAAGTGGATTTTCTATACTCATAGTAGCCTTTTTTGTGTGAACAATTCCCGACAAATGAGTGGCCTGACATCCTGCTCTTGTTTTTATGGAGCAGTGACGGGCTAAAGGCTCGCGTGCACGTGATACTAGGCACTTGCTTGGAAAATCTTGGGCCCGGCGTTCCAACCAAAAAATAAATCAGGACTCTTCATTTATTAGACAAAACAGAATTTCAGTTAAAAAAATGTTATATTCACGGGGATGGTGCAAGCTTCAGGTTGTAAGTCGCACAAATTCTGGTATCAGCAACAAGTAGATTTGAATGAAAATTTCAAGTATCCTCATATTCTCACTCTTCCAAGCACTGGCTCGGTGTCAGTGCCATCTTCGAATACTTCTGCACCCCAACCCCACCCCTTCAAGGCGCGGTGATGTGAGACTGGAAAGCAGAGGAGGGGTGGTGAAGTGGGAAAGACCCTTCCCCTTAATGGATGGGGGAGTAGCAGTGGTGGCTGGCTGATTTTGCAGGCTGCTTCCCTCCTCCCTCCCTCCCTCCCCTCCATGGATCGGGCCTTCCAGACAGAGGCCATCCATACAGTAGGTCAAAAGGTCCAGAGGTCCAGAAGACAGAGGAAAGCGCGGGAACCATCCCAAGTCTTGCTCATGCGGGATGTCTGCCGTGGAAGGAGCCACCCATTCCCAAACCCCGGCAAATGGGAACCGGTGTGGGTGGGCGCCCACGGCTCTCCAGCTGTCTCTCCAGTTTCCGCTACGCCTGAGTTGTGCGGGGGGTGCTGGTCCCTAGGGCTGGCGCAGGTCCTCTCTGCTGTCGGAGACTGAGCTCGTGCAATGGTGTCGAGGTGGGAACCCAGCCAGAGCTGGGGGCCCCTCTGAGGGGTGGGGTCCGGACCGGCGGGCCGACAGGCAGGGCCACCTCCCATCTCAAAGGACGTCATCTCACTTTTCCTCCCCTTTATTGGAAGAAGAGACCCGAGCAATTGTTCTCATCGTTTCTGATTTCTGGATGTTCCTTTGACATAAACACTGACCCACACTCTGCAGGAATCACAGCCATGGTTGTGCGGTCCCACTGCTCTGGGCTCCTTCCTGCCAGGCGTCCCTGGCAGGACCGGCACTGGGTTCACTGGAGGCGATGGGCTCCACCTCGCCCCTATCCCGCCCCAGACTTCTCTCCCCACCTCCCCACTGTCCTCTCCCAGGGCTGCCTGCTGGTTCCTCCCGCACTACAGATCCGCTTCCAGCACCAGCCTCCTGGATCCCCTCCCACCCCTGGCTGGAGGGAGGGCCCAGGCGCTGCCCAGAGAGCCGAGGCAGTGGGGATCCCTCTGCCTTGGGGGCGAAGGGCCCCAGCAGCTGCTGTCCTGCGAGACCAGGCAGACCAACGTGAGGTTGACAAAGGGAACAGCCGCCCGCCCCTCTGACCCGCCCCTCTGACCGCGCGCCCATGGACTCCTGGTCACTGCGGAGGCCGCTCTCGTCCACTCCCCTGGGTCAGCTCCCCCTCCGCCAACTCCCCCTCTGAGCGCTTGTTTTTGTTCTCTGCCCAGGTTAGGCTAAATGCGTCCAGCAGCCCGGGAGCCATCTGGACGGTTCCCGGGGCCCGTCGTCTGCTTTCCATCGCCAGGCCTGCGCTTAAAGGCGGCCTTGGAGCAGCACGGCAACCGCCAGGGGTTTCTGCCGGATTAGCCACCGTGAGAGACGGAGGCAGAGCTGGGAAGAGGCGCCGCTCAAGCTCTGAGCCCCGACCACAATGGTTCTGGTCTTACACCGCAAATCATATGCGATGCTGCACCGTGGAAATGCCTCATGTGCCTGGTTATTATCCATTCATTCAGCGTTTGCCACTTGGGCGTGAGGGGCGGCAGCTTGAGTCCCGCCCTCATTGTATAACCCATGTGAGCAGTAGCCTGACGAGAGATTCATGTGGACCAGCCATTTGTAAATTTGGCTGTACACCTTCACCCTTGGGAATCCCCTTCTTCTACCTGCCCCCAAAGACAAAAAAAATTAGCTTGTGCAAAAATAGTCCTTGACCTATGGGTTGGGCAATGGGGTCCAAGAAGAAGGGGAGGTCCGTGGAATCGTGGCGTGTTCTAACTGGAAATTTCCTTAGAAGTCATCAGAACGAGGCTGCCAGCTGACTGAGGACACTCACTCGGGGAGTGTAGGGCCTTAGGAAGGCCACCTGGCCCATGAGCGAAGTACAGCGAGTCCTCCCTAAGGCCCCTGCACGTGGGCAGGCCCTTGGAACTGGACCTTTAGCCTAATTTACAGAAGCCATGTGCTGGAACCATGTCGATGAGGTGATACCGTTGAGGATTCTATTTTTTCCTCACCAACCTTATAAAGAAAGAACACCGAGGGGAAGGCCTGTTGGAGGGCTGGAGGGACTCATCTTTGCAGTCCTCTGGCCTAATATGGGGAGAAGAGGGTGAGGAGTTAGGCTTGATCACGTCCAGCCAAGGGCTTTGGCCAGACTGAGTTCGGTTGTAGCACATGCTTGATCTCCATTCCGTCTGCTCTCGCCTCTTTGGGGAGTCTGGGCCACGGCCCTTTCTTCCTCTAACCTCAGCTTCACTCCCTTACTCTCCCGGCTCCCCCGCCACCAGCTCTGACCATGAGGTTTTATGGGGGATCTTAAAATGAAACCAGGTGCTGCATAAAACAAAGGCAAAGTAATAACAAGGGAAGACGAGCCAACGCCGAAGGAATGTGCTGAGTTTTATGACTCAGGCTGTCCTGGCACACACCCGGACTTCCACGGAGAGGTGGGTGCCCAGGGCGCAGCCCATACATGGCAGCCAGGCCTGGTCCCGGCTGCCTGTGACTCACTTCGCAGAGCCAGAGACTGGTTCCTAGTGGAGCAAGACTCCCTGGAGCTGAGGCCGGAGCCAAATGCTCACCAGCTTTTCCCGACGCAGCCAGCCCAGCCGGCCCTGGCCAGGGCCACCCTGGGTTTGCAGGGGAAGGAGCCCGGGCAGAGGGCCATCCCAGGAAAGAAACCGGCTTGATGGACTCGGGCCAGCTTTGATGCTTTTAAGAGATGAATACCAGGGGAGCTGCAGAGGGACAGGGAAATCAGTGTGCATTTTTGTGGGGACAATGTCCGGGGCACCACAGCACAGTGCCTCGGGGGAGGGGGCAGGGGGGCAGTGTGCCCCAGGGGTACGGGTTCTTCGAGGCAGGCAGTGAAGACTGATTCTGGGGGGTGTCTGGAGGCCCTGGGAGCACAGTGCGGAGGTGCCCGGGAGGCTGGGCTTCCCGTCAACAGGGGACACGCAGGCACGCAGCTCGCATTCTGAGAATTCTTTTCAAATGAGCAGAGCCAGGGGCTGAGGTGCAAGTGTTTTCTGTTACTAAGAGACAGGCTGAGCCAGCTCGGGGGCCCAGAAGCCTCCCCAGCAGTGGCGGTGGGAGGGGTCTGCTCCTGGTGACAGGGATCCCTCAGTGTTCCCTTGGCTGCAGCGGGCCTGGCAGGACCCTGCGGGACACTGCGGCTGACGCGGCCCAGAGCAGGCTGTCGCCGGGGAACAGGCTGAACCTCGACTGGCAGCAACGAGGGCTCCCGGAAGCAGCCTCGCGGACGGGGGCGATTGCCCCTTTTCTCCTTTCTCTCCCTTTCCGTGGGCACTGCTGGGAAGCTCGGGTGA